GGGGGGGGGGGGGGGGGGGGGGGGGGACGACAAGGGGGGGGGGGGCCCCGGGGGCCACCGCAAAAATTTGGGCCCCGGGGAGGCGCGGGGGGGGGAGGGGGCCGAAACCTGCTCCTCTGTGTGTTTGGGTACCCAAAAGTATAGAAGGGGGCCCCGGGATCGCTCTTCTTTCCCCCTCTTTCCAACGCCCCCCCGTTTTGAACTGTTCCCCCTCTTCCAACACATTCTCCCTAGGAGTCTCTGGGAAAAGGGGAATAGTACGAAGAATCAGGGGGCAGGGTAGCCATTTAGCCTGGGAAGTTATAGATGCTTGAGGAAAGTTTTTTGGTAGAGATGGAGAGAGCTTTGGGGAAAATCTGGAATTTTTGAGAGAGATAAGTCTGGATTGTAGGCTCTTTAGTTCACTTTGGTGGAGAGGGAGAGGCTGGGGGACCCAGTCCTGGACTTTTGGACAGACAGAGCTTGAGAAAGGGAGAAAGAGCAGAGTTGGGATGGGGGGGGGCGGGGCAGGGGGAAAGATCCCAAGGCAGAGTAGAAAGAATTGGAAGCTGTTTTGAGAAGAAAGTTTAGGGGCTGATGACTTGAAGGGGGTCCCAAGGTTTGAGGTAAAGTTTTGGAGCAGGAGGGAAAGTCACTTGACAGAGTAGGAAAGAGGTTAGAGGGCTTTGGATGGTGGGGGCGGGGTTACCAGAGGGAGAGAGTGGACTGTGTAGTTTAAACAATGGAAGGGAGAAGCTGGGGGAATCTGTGGATGAGGAAGAGCTATTCTAGAGGACATATGGGGGTTCTGGAGAGGAAAGGCATATTACGGAGGTTCCAGACTTTTCTGGAGACACTGAGGAGGAGGAGTGAAAGGTTTGGGGGAAGTCCAGAGCATTATGAAAAAAATCTTTGGGATGGGAATTGGCATGGAGCTACAAGAAGGGACGTGAACAGGGTGAACATGGGCTTCCATGAGAAAAGACTCAAGTGTTTCAGTAAGGGGGAGGGAAGTGTTGGAAGTACAGGGGGGTCCAGGAGGCTCTGAAGTTGGGGTGGGGAAGTCTTCTGAGACTTTGAGAGCAGAAAATGGGGCAGGAAGTAGGAGGGAGGTAAAAAATAACCAGGAGATTCAACCTTGGAGAGAGAGATCTTCAGGGAGAAGGGCCAAGGCTGAATCAGGGAGGTGTTGGAAGAGCCTGAGAGACTGAGAGTTGAAGAGGGGCTCCAGAGAGTCTGCAGGGAGCGGGGAAGGTGAGGGACAGTGTTCACAGGGCCTACGACACTTTGAGGGTTGGGAAGGGATGTCTTTTGAGGGACTGGGGATGGTCCAAGAAACTGAGAGCTGGGGAGGTGTCTTCTGAGGGTCTGGAGGGTGGCCAAGAGTGGTGAGAAGGTTTGGATGTGCTCAGAAGATTCTGAGGGCTGGGGAAGGTTTTCTGAGAGTCTCTGAGGGGTCCGGGAAAGGCGAGGGTGGAGTTGTTTGAGAAGCCTGGGAGGAAGTTTTTAAGGGTCGTCTAGGGTGGCATGGAGAAGCAAGGTGAGGTTTAAAGGGGTCTGCGAGATTTTGAAGATTGGAGAGACGTCATGAGAATCTGGGGGATGGCCGAGAGAGGGGGGTGTGTTCAGAGGAGTATGGGAGACTCCGGGTTTAGAGACTGAGAGGCTTAGAGAGACCAAGGGGGGTTGGGATGGGACGCTCCTGAGGGTCTGAGGGCGCCTGGAGAAGCGGGGATGAGGTGAATGGGGGCTCCGAAAGCGCGCTCACCCTGGCGGCCCGCGACGAGTAGGGGTCCTCGAAGAGCGCCCACACACGGGGCTGCCAGCGGCGCCACCACGTGCCGCCCGCGCCGCCCGCGCCCCCTGGCGGCCCTCCGGCGCCGCCGCCTGCGTCCTGGAAG